TTGGGCTTCCTTTTTTGGGTCTCAAGAATAAAGCTTAAACTTATTTAGCCCTGGTTATTAGGGAAGAGAGCAATATGTGTTGAGCCTTGGACGGTCTAGATTTCACCGAACAAGCCCGGTATCCATCCGAAGTTGCCACATATGCCAGCTGGCCAGTTGAGAATTACCACATCATTCTTGGCCTTCATGTTCAGGGTTGAGGGTTTATTGTGGTGATGGTGGTAATGATGATGGTCAGGGTCATGGTGGCTTGATGATGATGACAGTGATGAAGAGTGGAAATGCTTGCAGAACTGAAGGTTCAATTCGGCAATGATCCCTGGAAGACTTACTATTTGGCCCAGGGCATCGAGGTAAATTATGTTAGTCCGTCTCGCTACCATGCAGCAGGTATGCTGTGCAATTAAAGCTATCCTTCGAGCTATCCTTGTGCGATGCCAGCATGTACTCGTGGATCTACGACTTCTCAAGAAGAGTACTTTGTGATTTGGGTGACAGAAACTGGATTGCTGTTAAGGAACTTAATTTTAGTTACAGCACTATATTGGGGGAACCATATGAATTACTATGTCTACCCTCTATGGTAACTTAATTTAAGTCCTTTAACAGCAACCCGGGTTAGAAAAGGAAGACCCAAAGTACTGAATAGCCAGAAACATTCGCCGATCACCTCAGCAGAGCGTGAATGACAGGCATTAGTTCAGGTCGGTGGAGGCATGGAACATGCAGGTTCGTTGCATTAGTCTGTCCTCGCCTCATCCAGGTGGTTAAGGAGTTTAACTTAAGTTACTATAATCAGGAAACGCTATCATATACCATATACCCATGGTGTCTAAGTTGAAGCTCCTTAACAGCAGCCCAATATTCGGTCCTCGCCTCATGGATGAGATTACGATCAACTTGGTAGGCTTGGATGGTCATGACTTGACCCTCTCAGTGTCAGCTTCAGCCACCGGTTGGGAGCTCCGGAATCTTGTTTGCGATCGTCTTCCGATTCGAGCTGGGGCGGCTATCTCCTTGTTCAAGGGCTCCGAAGCGCTGTTGTTGGACAAATCACTTAGGGAGCAGGGCTTGGACACCGGGAGCTTGTCTTACGTCTATAATCGCGTGAAGCTGGTGGATGTCTGCCCATACATGGGGAATAGCGTTACCTGGTTGCAGGGCTCAGACCTATGGGAGGATGGGCTGATTTATGACGAGCGCTGCAGCTGGTCTCTAGTGAAAGACGAGTTTGTTCTGGAGGGACTAACTCGGATTCATGGAGTTGAGACTATCGAGCAGTTGGGGCGCCCGCCTCGCAGTCTACACAGCCTCGGGTTTCTGGATCAATGTTAGGGAGCCTTTTAAAGGGGGATCTAGAAGGGTTACTATAAGGGTATTATATAGGGATATTATAGGGGTTATATAGGGTTTAGGGATCCTTTTTATACTTCTGGGGGTATGGGAGGCTATGGGAGGGATTCCTTTTATGTATGATTTAGGTAAAAATGATCCTTTTCTTCCTAAACCCTCAGCCGTAAACCCTAAACCCCTTAGCCTAAACTAATGCGTCACAAGGTTTCACCATGACTCTAATCTATCCCTTGACACACTGGCGCTGCCAAGCGGCCTGTTGAGCCTGAGCTTTGGCACCTGTTTAAACCAAAGTTTGAAGGCCTGTTTAGGGCTTAGGGGTTTAGGATTTAGGGCTTATGGTCTAGGATATGAGGCTTAGGGGTTTAGGATCTAGGTTTTGGGGTGTTGGGGTTTAGGGTTTAGGGTTTAGGCTGTGGCTTTGCCGAAAGTAATAATGGTTAAGATAAGGATAGTAACGATAGTAATAGTAACAATCGCAATAATATTCATAGTAATGATAATGATAGTAATAGTCATAATACAAAAAATAATAGTAATGACAACAAGCCAAAATTTGGAGGCCGTGACTTTGCCAAGCGGCCTTCAGAGTCTGACCTTTGGCCGTGACTTCAACCAAAGTCTGGAGGACCCCCATAGAACCCCTACAGAACCCGTATAACCCTAAACCCTAAACACTAAATAATTCCTATAGAGCCCTTATGGGTTGGAGGAAGCGGCTTTGCCCAGCAGCCTGCTGAGCCTGAGCTTCGGAAGCTCCTTCAACCAAAGCTTCTCGGTTACTTAAATCAAGTTACCATAATGGGTACATAGGGTTTAGGGCATATAGGGTATATAGGGTTTAGGGTGTAAGTTACCATAATGGGTATATAAGTAAACAACAGGGTTATAGCAACTTAGATTAAATTCCTTAACAGCAACCCAGGCTTGAGTGCTGTGACTTTGCCAAACAGCCTGCAGAGCCTTAGCTTTGGCAGCCATTTCAACCAAAACTTGGAGGCCGTGACTTTGCCGAACAACCTGCAGAGTATGACATTTGGCTCGGACTTTAATCACAGTCTCGAGACGGTGACTTTGCCAAGCAGCCTGCAATATCTGAGTTTTGGCGATGCCTTCAATCAGTGTGTTGGGACTTTGCCAAGTGGCCTGCAAAGCTTGACATTTGGATACTTGTTTGCCCAATGTCTGGAGGATTTGGCTTGGCCCAGCAAACTTCAAAGTCTGACTCTTGGCTCCTCCTTCAATGAAAGCATAGATGCCGTGACTCTGCCTAGCAGCCTACGGAGCCTTACTTTCGGCTCTGCTTTCAATCAAAAACTACAGGCATCCACTTTGCCCAGTGGCCTGCAAAACTTGACCTTCGGCGCAGGCTTCAATCAAAGCCTGTTCGGCGTGGCCTTACCAGAGAACCTTAAGAGCCTCACCTTCGGCTATCGTTTCAACCAAAGTCTCTGTACTGTCCTTAGGACTAATTTTCACTTTTTATTATAGTATAACCCTAAGGAAATATTAAACATATTGCTTTAATTATAGGTCTAAGGAGACTACAGGTCTGGTCGGGGTATGCTTACCAAGCGGCCTTGAGAGCATTGTGTTTGGCGACTGCTTCGAGGCAAGCTTGGAAGATGTGAGTCTACCAAGCTGTCTGAAGAGCCTCACCTTTGGACAGTGTTTCTAGGTACCCCAGTAGTGCCCTGTTTCCCTTTTTATCTGGGGGGTCTCCTCATTAAAGCTGAATAGTATGAAAAGGGTACCCTTATTCTTAAGGGGTTACTGGGGAACCCAGGTTTCAAACAAGTACTTGGACGATTGATTTTGCCCGACAGCTTGCAGAGCTTTAGTCTTCGCTGGAGTTTCAACCAGCCTCTCCAGGACCGTAGAGTTTAGGGTTTAGGGTTTAGGGTACCAGTATTTTCTCTTTGCAACCTTTGTATCGCTATACTACAGTATACCCAACAAGCCTTATTCTAATAGTTATAATAAATTAAACCCGTACATTGCAATCCCTAGACATTATAGATCGTTTGTTGTTTAGCGCCCATCCTAGTTTGCATGTGTACTATAGTCTAACCTCCTTAAAGGGAAATACATAGGGGACTACTATGGGGCTTATCAAGGGGGATACTAGGAGTTTAGACTATGGCTCATGTGGTTCTCCAGCTCCCACTTGGAGGTTCACGCGTAATTATATGCAAGGTTATAAGTTTCTTGGGTACACTTACCTCCTATAGTAGGGGAATTTCTCTCCGTTCAAGAAACCCCAATCCCTAAACCTTTAGCCTCAAACCCTAAACCCTAAACCCGGCACCTCCAAATGCAGGACGTGATTCTGCCAAGCGTCTTCTACACCTGACGCTCGATCACGCGTTCGACCAGAGTCTAGGTACTTCAGTAGTACCCTTTTTCCCTTTTTATTTCGGGGTGTCCTTATTAAGCTAAACATTAGGAAAATGGGTGCCCTTATTATTTTGAATCCTAAGCCCTAAACCCTGAATAGTAGTTTCCATTTTCTTCTCCAACAGCCTAATAATATACCCCATATTCTTTCTACTTAAGGGGAACTATAGGTTACTGTACCCCCCCAGGGTTTAAGGAGCCAAGAAGGATTATATAGGGCTTAATCAGGCCTAATAGGGTTCAACTTTTTTGGGAGGAGGGGGGTGTACCTTTGGGGCCCCTAAACCCTAAACCCTGTACCTTTGGGGGGAGTTATTATGATGGGGAGCCTAGGAGTTTGGATGGGTTGCCACTGCCCATTGGGCTGGAGAGTCTCGAGTTGCTGGGCTGTAGGGTTTAGGGCTTGGGGTTTAGGATTTAGGGTTTAGGGTTAAGGGTTTTAAAGGGCTTAGGGTGTCGGATTTAGGGTTTAGGGTTAAGGGTTTTAAAGGGCTTGGGGTTTAGGATTTAGGGTTTAGGGTCTAGGGTCTAGGGTTTAGTGTTCCTTGCAATGTTTTTGTTATTCTGGACTAGAGTGCTTGTAGAATCCCGGATCTTCCTTGCAATGTCTTTAGAGATTGTGTAGACCATAATCCCTATATGACCCTTGTAAGCTATGAAAAAGTCATTGTTTCATAGGGCTCCTGAGTCTATCCCAGGACTAAGCAGCAAACCCTAAGCCCTCAAGCGTAGGTAGACTTACCAGTACTTAGGGTTCCCAAATTTCCTTAGTCTCAAAGTTCTAAATTTTCACAAGAAATCAAAACCAAAATGACGCCCCTCCCCCCCACACAAGCCCTAGGTAATGGTAATAAACCCTAAACCCCTAAGCCCTAGACCCCTAAACCCAAAACTCTAAACCCCCAAACCCTACACCCTAAACCTCAAACCCCGCAGCCCAGGCTCGGTGACAGGTTTAACCAGAGTCTTGCGAGACTAGTCCTGCCACCCAGTTTGCTGTGCCTCAGTTGAGTAGTATTTTATTTGGGGATATTATGGTACCCAGTATAGAGTAAGATTCTATCCTCCCTTTGGTGTATAGTATTGTATATAGGGAATATAATCTTACTAGGTTTAACCACGAACAAAAACACTACTCAGTTGCACTTGGAAAAAGGTTTAGGATTTAGGATTTGGGGTTAAGGGTTCAGGGTTTGGGTTTCAGGGTTCCGGGTTGATGGTTTAGGATTCAGGGTTTAGGATTTCGGGTTAAGGGTTTAGGGTTTAGGATATTGGGTTGAGGGATTGAGGGTTTACGGGACCCCCACCCTGTAATAGTGGTACAATAGGAATATGAAAGGACCCTAAACATCATCAACGTTATCCCTTGCAGTCACTATTGCTGGGAGGGGGGTCCTCCTAAGAAATATTAGGTTGCTGTTAAGGTACTTAGGAATATAGATTAAGTTACTCTAATAACGCAATTGCATTCTTTACCATAAAACCATGCTATGGTAACGTGAATTAAGTTCCTTAACAGCCACCCAGAAGAATTTTGATTTTCATTAGAACCCTAGCAACCGTTTTTCTTGCTTAGGTTCGAAGTTCAGCATAGGTGCCTCACATTGGGCAATTTCTTCAACCAAAGCTTGGAAGCTGTGACTTTGCCCAGCGGCCTACAGAGCCTGTGTTTGGGTAACTGGGTTGACATTAAGGAACTTCATTTAAGCTACTATTTTGGGGAAACCCTATTCTTTATACTAT